CATATTGAACGAAAAAAGCTCCATCACACAGTGCTGATAAACAGTATAGCTTGGCGACCTATACTGACACTAACATCGGACCACTTACCCATATAAATCTAGATTGACAGACCTCCCCTCACGACTTTGTTTCCGCGGACCGACGGACATTTGTTAACTTCAAAAAAGTTAACTGGTCCGCCTTCACTTAATTTACTGTGAACGCCTTCTGTGCTCTCCCCACTCCATCAGACGACCCTTATGGTGAACGTTCGTTTCGCTGGATTGTCGTGATCGCTGCTGCCCGTTTCATCCCAGCATACAGAATCGCCGATAACCGCTCTAATTTCCGGACGGAAGCGGGATTTAAGCCCAGATATTCGTAAAGTAGTTAACAACCACAGCGGTAAAAGTGGGATCAACACTTCATTCGGGGCCTCGTCGGACCCGAAAAGATACGCGGGCTACTTTGGCCGACTCTTCCCATTGCATCCTTCGGCAGACAAAATGAAGCGCAAACTACCAAACACCAGTGCCGCGCTTGTTTTCTCCAGGAAAGAGGTTCAGCGGCTCAGCGGGAAAGCAATAGCCTCCAAATTTATTGGTTCTGACGGAATAAGCATGCTGAAGCTAAAACGTTTTGGACCAGCGGGAGCAGTCTTCTTCACCAAGGTCCCCAATTTGTCTTTAACAACCCTAATGAAACCCGACGTGTGGAAAATGTGCAGAGTGGTCCCGCTACTCATGCCGGGGGAAACCAACCAACAAAGGATAGTCTTATCTGCCGATAACTCTCCTCTCTCCAGTATCGACGACCCTTGAGTCCTTGCTGCTCCCGACTTTCACTCACCACCTGCGTCCAGCAGCACATCAGCATGGCTTCCGAATAGCGCACAGCACACCAACAGCACTGGACGCCATAAACACTCAGATAGTCAATGGCCTTAACCTAAACCGACCCTGCGCGAACTGTCCTGGTAGCACTTGATTTGTCAAAAGCTTTTGACAACATCAATCATTCAGTGCTACTAACGGGCATTGAGGATCCCTCATTACCGCCTGAGTTGCAGAGGGTGATAATTAGTAGTATTTTGAGGTGGAACATCGAAACTGAGGAAAATTAAACAAGGCGTCAACATACTTAAACTATGCCCTGCATGTGGAGAATCTCCGCACGACACTAACCATCTCTTAACATGCCCCCTTAAACCGACACCTCTAAGCCCCCTCTCCATCAGGTCCGATCTCGTCGAAACATCACGTTTCCTGGATCTCACGTTAGATGGCCTCGGTGTTTTAGATTAATTAACCTGTCTTAAGCGGGGTTGACGAAGCCGCTACGCCAATAACAACGAAAACTACTGCGCGTTCTAGTGTGCGAATATCGAAAATTCTGTATACCGTACGATCGTGCCGGACAAATTAAATTCAGTAGTGACATCACGAAATAAAACGTCTGTTTATGGTAAGTAGTTATGTAGTTAGTAAGTAATAAGTTAGTGTGAGAATATAGTAGAGTGTTAGAATTGTAAAATAAGTTGTCGTGCATAGTAAAGCGAATTGTTATTCGCCTTTTCCACGGAGTCGTGAATTACATTGTTGATCCTCTCATTTACGAATGCGAATTAACCCATTGACACGGCACGCAATTTAACAGATTTATGTTTGGCTTGCTTGTTCCTTTTGGAAATTCATAGAAAATGAAAGAATTTAGTAGAAGTTAATAAATTCTTAAATTAATTTGGTAATGTTTCTTTAACAATTTCTACTTTCGTTTTTACTAAGTTCTGGTTACTTAAAGGGTTACATCTAAGTAATACTCTGAAAATTTCAAGTCGATCCGATTGTTATTTTGGAAGTTACACTCATATTTGTAACGACGTGTCAGAGCATTTGGTGAAACTTCAACCTCGTTTTCTCAAAACTTTGTTTTTCAAGTCGGTGACCAAGACTTCTCGGAAACGGCTGTATATTAGTCTCAAATTTTTACACGGTCTTCTGAAAGTAGTACTTAGTTTAAGCTTTTCCATTATCGAAAATTTATTTTGTGAGCAATTCAAGATCAAAGTATGGAGAAAACTACAATTTTTTATTTAGAAAAGCCGTCATTTTGTCAAAAAAATTGTTGTCTTATTCCTTTGATTAATCACAAGATTATATTTTACTTTAACGAAATCTGTTCGATTTTTTCATTCAGATGATTCACTTCAGATATACAATGGTCACCGGAATACGCTTGTTTTGGGAGGTGTCCCTGGAAATCTGCTGTAGCAGCTTCAAAGACTGTGATTCTTATAAATAAAAATTTGCTAACTACTCTTCAAAGGTGCTATAATATTTGAACAAATGGTCAAAGTAATAAAGCTAAAAGCTTTCTCGTGAAAAATGTTTGAAAAACCTCAACTAGATATAAATAATTTAGGGTTAGTGATAGTCAAGATACTGTTATAATGGAAATAAGATATAAGCCAAAAAAAGCTCTTTCTGTAAAATTTTATATTGAGTAAAACTACCTTCCTTTTTCGTATCATAGTTTGATCATTGTGAATATATTTTTAGGGATAGTACTGAAAAACCGCGTCCCAACTCCATAGCTCCTTTCTATGCAATTTCAAGTACGAATGTGAGATTCATTGTGAAGCCGTTCAGCGAGAAGATTGGGATGTAAAAGTTAATACAACATTGAGTTGCTAACTCCACTATCGCCCAATGAAAAGAAGTACCTAAATTTATGTACTGTCACCGATCCATACTGCTTCTAGATGCACATCTGTGCTTGAACAAAATAACATTATTACCGCCTTAAATTCAAAAAATCTCCTGGCATTTTCAGTGCCATTTTAATATAATATTAGGATATTATCCACAAATATGGAAAAAGTTGCAGATAATTATGATAGCTAACCAGGTAAAGACGCAACTCTGCCGTCATCATATTGTTGCGAAAATGCGAGGCGAATGTCAGATGAAAGAGAGAAGCCGATAACTAGTACATTCTAGAAACGATAAAACAAGAACCTTCCATAGCGAACAATCCGATGCTTCTACGCTTTCGTCTGCGAGCAGCCGACTGCTATATAAAGGCGACACTCAGCTGCAAGTCAAGTTAGTGACAAAGCGAACTGGTTGGCGTTAACATCAGTGAAGACGTAAAGTGAACGCGTTGGGAATTACATTTAAGTAGAGTAAATTGTGAAAGTTGATGATAGTGATTGTAAATAATTAAGTGTATGGTAATTGAATTGTGAATTACGGAGTAAATAAAGGACATTAGATTAATTCTTTATAACGAAAGATACTGCAAATTGAATTGGCGAGTTTTTATTTAACAATCCAGAGATCGTACCCGAAGGATTTAGAAAATAATCGAGGTTGATTTGGTAAAATCGTAACAATATGATCACAAATCAGCTGTGCTCCAAAATTTGCTAGTTCTTACTGACTGAAATTTTCCCATCACGAATTTTCAACTTTCTTTCCAAGCCGAACATCACAAATTCGCTCTCTGCTTATTAATTTCAATGGCAAAAAGCCTCAAGGAGTGCAAGTTCAAAACATTAATAGTTTTCATAATTTTTATACATCAAAAATGCGTTCCCACATTTTTTTTTTAGTAAATAAAATGAATCTTACATGTCCATTAGAGCCAGAAAAACTGTGCTGCCACACCCTTGAAGGGTTATTTTTTAAATGCGGCCAATGACCGCCAACTTACAAATGTGTTTCAATTAAGAATACTGTTACGATTTTACTAAATCAACCTCGATGATTTCCTAAATCCTTCGGGTACGATCTCTGGATTGTTAAATAAAAACTCGCCAAGTTAATTTGCAGTTTCTTTCGTTATAAAGAATTAATCTAATGTCCTTTATTTACTCCGTAATTCACAATTCAATTATAATGCACTTTACTATTTACAATCACTCGTATCAATTTTCCACAATTTACTTTACTTAAATGTAATCTCCAACGCGTTCACTTTACGACTTCACTGATGTTAACGCCAACCAGTTCGCTTTGTCACTAACTTGACTTGCAGCTGAGTGTCGCCTTTATATAGCAGTCGGCTGCTCGCAGACGAAAGCGTAGAAGCATCGAATTGTTCGCTATGGAAGGTTCTTGTTTTATCGTTTCTAGAATGTACTAGTTATCGGCTTCTCTCTTTCATCTGACATTCGCCTCGCATTTTCGCAACAATACTGTGCAAGGCGAAGTAGGTGCTGCCCGGCCTAGGGTTATTTATTCAAATGCGGCTGAAGGACTATAACTTACAATTGTGTTGCATCTAAGAATACCGTGTTGGTCCGGCCCAGGGTTATTTTTTTAAATTCGTAAAAAAGCAACAATTCAAACAACAATCCAAGTTTTAAGAGGTTTACTTCCTTCGCTAGAAAAGTTGTTTTATTCAAGAAATGCAATAGTAGTAAATCTGCGAGATAGTGAACTGTCAAATCGAAATAATTGAATAATATGCCTCAAATTGTCGAAACTTTGGAGATAGGACTGCAATTTGCATTTTATCGACGAATTGATTAAATAGACATTCTTCGATTTTCTGAACAAAATTACTTACAATTCACTTAGACTAAGGTTACCTGTAGACCTAAACGGGGTTAGGTCTCCGAAAGGGTGACAGCCCTTGGCCGGATAAAATCCGGGTCAACTCCGGTGCGTAGAACCGGCTGTCGTGAGAGTTGCTTACAATTCACCGGCATGTGGAGAGTCCCCGCACGACACTAACCACCTCTTCACATGCCCCCTCAAACCTACTCATCTAACACCCCTCTCCCTTTGGTCCAACCCCGTCGAAACAGCTCGTTTCCTGGGCCTACCCTTAGATGACCTCGACGACTTAGACTAACTCAAGCCTGTGCCTAAGCGGGGATAGCGAATCCGCTACAACAACAACAACAACAACTTACAATTCACTAACGGCTAAAATTATTTGTAACTACTAATTTTCTTGTTCCTGCAGGGTTTTATCAGAAATGCTTGGTACAACCTTATCAATTTATCGGCTAACAAATGGACTGCCATCGCTATTCACTAGTTTGGCGGTTCTCTAAAAAACACTATTTCCATTCTATAGAAGTTATTATTATTTATTAAAAAGGATGCCAGAACAAGCAGAAGTAAATACTGATGATTTAAAGCGTCGTGATTTACCTTGGATAGAGAAATATCGACCCACTAAGTTTGAAGAAATCGTAGGAAATGAAGACACAATTGGACGTCTTTCTATATTTGCTACACAAGGGAATGCTCCGAATATTATAATAGCGGTATGCGGTATAAATATATTTGTGGAAAATGTTTATATATGCACTTCTCCAATAGGGCCCGCCTGGCGTGGGAAAGACAACGACAATCCAATGTCTTGCCCGTATTTTATTAGGAGAAAGCTATAAAGAAGCAGTGCTTGAGCTAAATGCTTCAAATGAACGCGGAATCGATGTTGTACGAAATAAAATAAAAATGTTTGCTCAACAAAAAGTGACATTACCCAGAGGCAGACATAAGATAGTTATATTAGATGAAGCTGATAGTATGACAGAAGGTGCTCAGCAAGCGCTTCGTCGAACAATGGAGATTTATAGTAGTACAACACGCTTTGCCCTAGCTTGTAATACTAGTGAAAAAATTATTGAGCCCATACAATCACGTTGCGCTATGCTTCGTTTCACGAAATTATCTGATGGACAAATACTTGCCAAATTAATTGACGTTTGTCAACATGAAAATATTACCTATGAAGAGGATGGATTGGAGGCAATTGTGTTTACAGCGCAGGGAGATATGAGACAGGCCTTAAATAATTTACAATCAACCGCTCAAGGTTTTGGTACTATCACTGGAGCAAACGTATTTAAGGTTTGTGACGAACCTCATCCTATGCTTATACAAGACATGCTACAACACTGCGCACATAACGATATACATAAAGCATATAAAATTCTCACTAAACTGTGGCGCCTAGGATATGCTTCGGAAGATATAATAGGAAACATATTTAGAGTTTGCAAGCGACTCAATATAGATGAACATATGAAGCTTAATTTTATTAAAGAAATAGGCATCACGCACATGAAAGTGGTAGATGGATTAAACTCTTTGCTCCAATTGACAAGCCTTTTGGCGAAATTATGCGTCATTGCTGAAACTCATTGACATTCTTAAATCAACCAAATATTAATTTCTTCATCTAATTATTCAAATAAATTCTTTACAAAATTTTTGGTATATTTATTTAAAATAATGTATTAATATTTCTTATGGGCACACCTATCTTATTAAAACGGTAAAATTATTCTTTTTTTGTCGTGCCATGCCTTTGTGGGGAAAAATCTTAAACCTCTAATCCGTAGATATTTTTATTTAACTTTGTCTTATTCACGTGCGCACGGTCAATTGTTTGTATTTGAGGAAACTATGCTGTTGTTGTAGCGGTTCGCTAACTCCGCTTAGGCACATGTTTGATCAATCTAAGTCGCCGAGGTAATCTAATGGGAGGTCCAGGAAACGAGTTGTTTCGACGGGGTTGGTCAAAAGGGAGAGGAAGGAGGGTTAGATGCGTTGGTTTGAGAGGGCACGTGAAGAGGTGGTTAGTGTCGTGCGGAGACTCTCCACATGCAGGGCATACGTTGGATATGCTGGAGTCTAGTCTGGATAAGTAGGAGTTTAGCCTGGTACAGTATCCAGACCTGAGTTGTGCCAAGGTTTCGCGGATCCTCGAGACAACTCGAGCTGGTTATCTGCTCTGAACTGATTTTTCTCCGAGCACGTCATTCACTGGAAGGGAGTCTTTGAAGGTGTTGACTGACTGGTGGTGAATGGCTTTCAGCTTCTATTAGGTGCCTATTGGGGTACTCCCTGCGGAACTGCTTGCACAGAAAAGAAATATGCTCCTTTACTCGTAGCATAGATGCTTCGCTGTGCAAGTGATGCTCCGGCGACATCAGAAGATTTCCTGTCGCGGTCCTGAGGGCGGTTCTGGCAAGCCTGTAGCTTCTGCATCTGCATCTCGTTCGTCCCCGGCGCCCAGATCGGTGCAGCATAGTTTACGACCGGCCGACCAATTGCTTTATAAGTAGCCAGCAAAGTATCTTTGTCTTTACCCCAGGTGCTGCCGGTTAGCGCTTTCAGTATTTTGTTGCAGCTCTGGAGTTTTTCGGCAATTGCGGTCGTATGCGGAGTGAAGGAATGCAGGCTGTCTAGTGTTACTCCGAATATTTTTGGGTTATTTATCGTCGGAATTTTTGTGTCATCGACCTTCACATCCAGTTTAAGCCTGTACTCCTTCGTCAAGCTGGTGAAGTGGTCAGCCGATTTCGTCGGTTGTATTTTTAGCTGCCTTGCAGTGAAAAAGTGGGAGAGATCAGCGAGGTAGCCTTTCATTTCCGATCATATCATGGTCAGACGCCATTATCGTACAATCATCGGCATACGAGGTTAGGGAGACTCCTTCTGATGGTGGAGAGAGTTTCGAGATGTAGAAATTAAACAGTAGCTAGGAGAGGGTACCACCCTGCGGAACCCGCTGTTTACTTTTCCTGGGTTTTGTTGTTACACCTCGGAGTATTACCGATGATTGTAATCAGGATTCCTCAATATCCGTTAGTAGCATTTAGTGATTGACTGTGTCAAAAGCCTATGACAAGTCTAATGCTACAAGGACAGCTCGCGCGCAGGTTCGGTTTTGGTTAAGGCCATTGGCTATCTGGGTGTTTATGGCGTTTAGTGCTGTTGTGATACTGTGCACTTTTCGGAAGTCATGCTGATGCGCTGAAGGTCGGGAGCAATAAGGCCTCAAGTCTCATCGCTACTGGGGAGAGGAGAGTTATCAGCCGATAGGACTCTCCTTTGTTGGCTGGTTTCCCCGGTTTTAGTATCGGGACCACCCTGCTCATTTTCCACACATTAGGTATCTTTAGGGTGGTCAGAGACAAGCACGGCGCTGGTGTTTGGCAGTTTGCGCATACGGCGGGTTACACGTCGCTTCGCTTTGTATACTGAGGGATGCAGTGTGAAAAGTCAGCTAAAATAGCTCGCGCATCTCTTCGGGTCCGACGAGGCACGATCACCGAATGAAATTTCCACCCGGTCATCACATCTCATCGGGTTAGACAGCGACTTGACTGTAGCCCAGAGCTTGGTTGCCCTAGAGGAGAAGTTGCAGGTCCTTAGGTGCTCCTCCCACTTTTTCCGCTTATGATTGTTGGCAGTATGGGGCCACATAACTTGTGGTCCACTAACTGTGGTTCTTAACGTCTGATCATGTTTTAAGGTAACTCCAACCATTGCACTGGTTGCACCTAACCGAGGTGGAGGAGTGGTGGAGTCTTTTTTGACACACTCAGCAGAAGTAGTCCGCCGGACTAGGGTTGGTTTCGACACCAGCCCTGATAAGAAGGATTTGGAGCAACTCAGCTGCAAGGTGGTTGTTGACCTAAACTGGGTTAGGTCGCAGAAAGGGTGACAGCTCTTGGCCGGATAAAATCGGGGTTAACTGCGGTACGTAGAACCGGCTGTCTTGACAGTTGTTGTTGTATATATTCTGTTTAGTTGGTAAAACTAAAGTATTTTTCGAGTTTTACTTTTATTTTTAAGGAATAACCATTATTTTACCAAAAATATATCGCTTATGAAGCAATCATTTATTTCAGTGCTGCCCAAACTAGTGGTCACTTAGCCACTTATGGCCAAGCCACAAATTTCAGTGGTTCGGTTGGGACTTCGCAAAAGATATTCCAGAATTCAAGTTGAAATTGGTCGCATTTAAAAACCAAATTAACGAAAATGATTTTACTTTCTTCCCAGTGATAGACACAAATCAATATAATGAAGATTTTGAGCTATATTTTTATTTTATTTCACGATTTGAGGATTTCCAAATGTCAGTTGGCTTTCAAATTTTATGAAAACCCATTCGTTTGGGACCCAAATAATATTAAAAAATTGTCAGATCAGACAACTCATTTGGAATTCGATAATTCTTTGATAAATGAAGAAAGTGGCTTGCCAAATGAAACGGGCGATGCATTGTGGAGGCGTTTGTTATCTGAATGTAATTTCTTGGCACTCAAAGACGTTGTACCAAAGTTTTTAAGCATGTTTGGTTCCACATACGTTTGTGAAGCATCATTCTCAGGTCTCGTGCGACGTAAAAATAAATACCGCAATGCAATATCGCAACTAAATATGGAATCCGAACTTTTGTGAACTAATCCAATCGAAGCCAGAAAATAAAAATAGAATATCATCCGTCGCATTAATCTTAAATAAACAATCATTGTTTTTGTTAGTTTTAACTTATAAAAAATAGAAAAATTTCATACGTCGCATTACCAACCGCAAATGAATGCAAAGACGAAATTTCGACATGTTTTCACTGTTTTTCTTATATTTTGGAAAATGTTGCCATTGAATAGATCTGTTGGCCACTTCTGTGACCACGTCAAAAAGAGTTTGGAAATCACTGATTTACTTAGTGTTATTCCTTGAAAAAAAAAAAAACTCCAACTCATGGAAAATGGCACCTCAAACTAGGTGCGGACCGTTACTGCGAAAAAAATGTCCGCCTTCAGCGGAGGGCGACGTAGATAGAGTGGGTTAGATACAAGAAGGTAATCTTGTGTCGGCCGTCCAAGGCTTACTTTGTGTATGGAGGGAGCACCCGAAGATGGTGAACATGTTGGAAAAGACGTTCCAGTACATGACCTTAGTGTGCTATGCCCAATCCATAAAAAGGCGTCCTCACGGTCTGCGTCAATTACCATCTGCCAATTACCATTAGCCTCTTCAATAACGTATATAAGATCGTTGGGTAAAGAACGAGACTTCAGACAGCGTGGCTCTTTATCGTGTTTTTTCCAATATTTTTCTAAGAGATGGTGTATGCCGATGATGTTGTTGTAGACAAAGAAGCGAAGCGAATGGGTCTTGCAGTGAACGTGGACAAGCAGAAATACTTCTTTCAGCAAACAAGCAGATGTATAGCACGTAAACATTGAAACGCAGAATCACTCTTGCCAACAAGTGATACTTTGGTCAGAATAAGCAATTGAAAAAACCATATAAAACATCAGTCACCCTTGTAGTTGTTGTTGTAGCGGCTACGTTAACCCCGTTTAGGGACAGGTTTAAAATAAGCATAAGTCACTGCGGTCATCTAACGGTAGGTCCAGGAAACAATCTGTTTCGACGGGATCGCATGTGAAGAGGTGGTTAGTGTCATGTGGAGACTCTACGCTTGCTGGGCACAGGTTGGATATGTTGGGGTCGAGTCTGGATAGGAAGCAGTTTAACCTGCTGCATTATCCAGACCTAAGTTTGACAGCTACGACACTTGCCTTAGCTAATTTTAAATCAGCGGAACTTAGATTAATCAATACCCAGACACAAACAATATGGTCGAAAAATGCGTGCTACCAAATGCACAACTCCATCCCGCGAAACGCCAAACAATAGAGTGTGGCACTGTAACCTCAAATGAGGAAATCGACCGCATTTGTTGCATAATGGGCACTCAGATTTTTACCGATGGAAGCAAACTCGAGTCCGATGGATGTGGTTTCGCATTTGTATACATCTTTACTTTACTGGTGCAGACCCCGCTTACGCGGTTTTTGTCTGATTTAATAACATTGCGCTATTCGTTCCTTTTTTGTGCTGTTTGGCGCCAATTCAAAATACCAAGTACAGCCAGGTCCTTCTCTACGTGGTCTTTCCCACGGAGTGGAGGTCTTCCTCTTTATCTGCTTCCACCGGCGGGTACTGTATCGAAAAGTTTCAAAGCTGGAGTATTCGCATCCATCCGGACCACATGGCCTAGTCAGCGTAGCCGTCTTTCTTGATTCGCTGAACTATATCAATGTCGCCGTGTAACTCGTACAGCTCATCGTTCCATCGTCTGCGATATTCGACTTTGCCTTTTGTGTACTTCACCCAATCGAAATTTGGGAGAAACATAAATCAAAACTGCATAACGCGTTTAGTGTTTAACAAGCAGGAGGCTTGGCAATAAATATGACACATGGGCACAAAGCAACCTGAAGACACGCACGTTCCACATATTTACCGATGGCAGATCATGTCTCGATGCGACCAGAGATAGAAGCAATGCAACACCTCTCATCGCTTCAATTCATGAGCATTTGTATATCCTCAGCCGAAAATATTCAGTCAAATTCAATTTCAACAAAATATACATACATCGACAAACAGCGGAAGCGTGGCAGCGCGAATAAC